TCACTCTGTTCCCAGGCCTGAGTGCAGTGGCACACTCACAGCCACCATATCCTTAACCTGCTGGGTTCAGGCCATCCTTCTGCCTCAGCCTTCCAAGAGACTGGAACTATAGGTGCGTGCTACCACACCCGGCTTATTTTTTGATTTATTGTAGAGATGAGGTCTTGCCAAGTTGCCCAGGCTGGTCTTAAACTCCTGAGCTTAGGCAATCCTGGCTTTGGCCTCCCAAAGTGCTGGGATTACAGGCTTGAGCCATCGCATCTGGCCCACTGTTTTCTTTTATAGTAAACTTAGCTAAGATTCCTGTTAAAGTTAGCAGCCCTCTCATAGGTAAAAATCACATCCTTCTTGGTATCTGAGCTGCAGATGGGCCTGTTGCCCTGTGCCACAGCCCTCCTTGGGTGACAGCAGCACGTTTCATCTTCACAGCAGAAGTCTGGGTATCAGATGGCTTCACTGCCAGCATCGTGCAGGCTGCTTCTTTTCCAGCTAGATTCTAAGCTCTGTGTGGTTGGAGATTATGTCCCTTACTTTACATCCCTCACAAACCTGCCAGAGCAGGGCACATGGTAAATACGCATATCGGCCTGCTATAATGTGTGGAAGGTGCTCCTGTTCTCTTCTTCTCACACTTTCCTACTCCTTCCTTGAATCCTGTGACCTGATTGGACTCTGGGTCACATGACCATAGTCCTCTCTCCCCAAAGAGCCCTTCTCCTTTCCCAGCCAGTGGAATTTAGTTTTTTAGTCTGTAGATCAGAGAAATTCCCCTTTTTAAACTTTATTGGTATCAGCATCACCTGCAGTTTGTGAACACAGATTTTTGGGGTCACCCCGAAGTCTAGTTCATTAGGTCTGAGGTGGGCCCTAGAGTCTTGCATTTCTAGCATGTTCAGGTGCTCCTCGTCCAGGCAGTGCAGTGTGAAAGCACAGTGTCTGGGTGCAAAGCTAAAAATTCTTTGCATGAATAAGCCAGATTCTTGGATAGCCTAAGTTCTCACACAGCAGGCCTCCTGCCCCCTTCACTCCATCTGGGGTGCATTTGCCCAGGCCCTCCTTCCACTGTGAGTTTGTGCACCGAAGTCAGAGAGTGTTTCAGGGGCATACAGTATTTGTCTTCTACAGAATAAGAGATTCTGATGTGAAAAGCATATTTTAGTTTTAGTAAAAATTCACTTCCCTTACCACCTTTGGCAGCCTCTGCACTTAGATACCTTCATGAAAACCGAATCATCCATAGGGATTTGAAGCCAGAAAACATTGTTCTGCAACAAGGAGAGCAAAGAGTGAGTGACCCCTGGGGCTTCAAAGCAGGGGGGCTGGGCATGTGGGGAGGCTGCTCTGCTGAGAAGGAGGAGCCCGAATGTTTGTGTTTTCATTTCCTCCAGTAAGCTTTGATGCTCTGGGAATGCTTTTTGATTTGAAACGAAATTCAACAAAACGTTCTTTTGCAGATTGAGGCAGGTTTGAATGGATCACATTGTTAATTGCCCAAGTTGCAGGAATCTGATAAGGAAAATCATGTTTGTCTTCCAACCTCCACCCCAGCCTTTGGAACTAGCACTTCTTGGAAACAGACTTTTGTTTTTCATTTGTTACAAGAATCTCAACTTTCAGTGCTGAATGGAAACCAGCTTCCAGCTGTTTATGGATGTGGCACCTGCCTCTGAGCCTGGCCCAGCCCTCAGTTTCCCCAGAGCTCCCTATGGCCTCCTCTGGCCACCCTGTCAGACATGGTGGTTACCTCCCCAGGGGCTTGGCGCTCTAGTCGTCCCTGTTTGTTTTTCCAGCAGGAGTAGTGAACACAGATTCTGCTTAGTGGAGTGTGGTCACTCAGCCCCTGGGTTGGTTGACCCAACTTGGCCAGTATCCTAGGCTGACCCACGACCCCCATGGTGCTCACCATGCTTCAGGTCATGCTCACTGCTGCCAGGGGTGCCAGATCTGAGGACCGAAGGTGTTCATTGTGAAGATGTTGGCCTGGTCTCTGGTGTCCTCAGGTCCAGGTTTAGCCATCCTGAGGTGCCTGCTCTGTTGTTTTCGGCTTCCCTCTTGCTCTGAATCGACCTTGCCCTGGGCATTCCCCTGGGTATTTGGTGGCTCTTAGGAATGTTGACTCTAATGCTACCTGCAGTTCAGAAATAGCTCTACTTTAACAGTAAATGATCAGAATCCTTGTAGAAGGACACTGTCATTTTATAATCTTCACATTATCCCTCCTCCCTTTTTTTTTCAGCTAATACACAAAATTATTGACCTTGGATATGCTAAGGAGCTGGATCAGGGCAGCCTTTGTACCTCATTTGTGGGGACCCTGCAGTACCTGGTAAGAAACGGGATCACGTATGTGCTTGTCATCTCCTCTCTGCTGGCTGTGCTGACTCCCTCTGTCCTCACCTCCTAGCACCTGAGTCTCACCAACTGTTGGGGTGTTCCTTATATGCACAGGAATCGTTGCATGCGGTCAGACCCTTAATCCATTCAAGTCAGCATTTTTGCCATGCGATGCCCTAGGAAGGTTATGGTCATCTTCTCTGATGTCCAAAGGGCTCTGCGTGTGTACCCTTACACACATCCCTTTACTTCTCTGTGCTTCAGTGTTTGATCTGAAAATAGAGGGTTTTGACTAGAGGCCATGGTTTCTCAGGGGTTACTGGGGAGGAGTCAGAACTCTGAGCGCCCTACTCTTTCTTTACATTACGTGGTCTGATACTGGGGTCATTTGAGTGACTCACCATTCAAGAATGTTGGTGGAGTGTAGTCTGTGCCAGGTACTGTGTGCGGGGCTGGCAGTGCACTGGGGAAAAAGATGCATTTCCCTGCCCTCAGAGCTAGAATTGAGTGGGAAAGCCCATGTTCCTGCGATGCCCACACAGAACACTAGGACATGACAGCTATGGGGAGTGCTCAGTATCTGAGCGTGTGCATCAGGAGGCCCATACCTCATCAGGGACCTGAAGGGTGCCTGTGTGAAGGAAGTTGGGGGAGAGAGAAGGCATGGAGGGAGGGACGTTCTGGGCTTGGGGATAGCACGTAGGAAGGCTATCTAAAAGCTGGAGGTAAAAGAAGAAGGTCTTGAAGTGAGGCTGGGATGAGCTAGGGGACAGCTTATAAAGGTCCCTTTTGGCTGACTTTAAAACCGCTGGAAAGATGTTGAAGGTTTTTGAGTTGGGGAAGGAACAGCTTACCCTTTGAAAAACCCTTGAAAAACTCTTGACACAGATGGAAGATGATTGCACTGAGCAAAGCAGATGCAGGGAGGGAGTGCAGAAGTCACATGATAGACAAGGCAGAGCTGGTGGGCAGGGAGGATGCGCAGGGTGAGAGGTACAAGGCCCAGTGATGATGCCCGCAGGCCCTGTTGTAGGCCACTCATCCAAGCAGCAGCCGGTCCAGATTTGAATGAATTAAGGAGTCTGCAGTTTGAAAAAAACAGGTTGAAAGCCACTGGGGTAGATGAGCTGAAGTCTCTTGTCTGCTTCTTAAATAAAAAAGAAAAATGATTTGGAGTATTTTGAGTATGTTTCTGTTCCTGTCTGTTCTGCCAACTGGGTCATGGGCTCCCAGTTAACCACCTGCCCTGTGGAAGATGCTTCAACGCTGCCACTCGTGGGACTTGTGATTCACACCTGTGTTCATACGATGTGTGGTTATGTAGGTCCTGTCTGCTCTGTGTCCTCCACATCCTCACCAGCTCAGCAACAGTTGTGAGGGTCACCCGGCCAGGAGCTGAGTCAAGTCATTCACTTGTGTGAGCTAAGACACCTGCCCATAGCCAGACACGTGACCTACTCATCCCTCTTGGTGTGGACTTCATGACCCTCTCCTCATTGTTCCATTTCCAGCCTGACCATGCACAGCCCTGTCCCCGTGCCTCTGTGGGTGACAGTCCTTTCTGAAATGTCCCCCCACCTGCCTGCACAAGGAGCCCTCTAGGCCAGCTCTGGCTCCCAAGCCATGTCCCTTCCTCAGTTGCCCTAGCTTTCTGTGCTTTGGCAGCAGTTGTGTATCTGGCTTCCCTGTCGTATTCTGAGGTCCTGTCTCCTTGTGTGGCCTGTGTTACTCAGCCCAGGAGGCCGGTCCACATTAGTGCATGTGTGATGTACTTGACACACACTGCCTGACATTTCCCTGGAGTGTGCAGCCTGTCCTCCTGTCACTGCTAACGCCCACAGCTGCACCTCGTGTGGAGCTATCTCAACAGGGCCTGAAGGGGGAAGCTGGCACCTGGTGGAGAGTCTGTGGCATCCACTGCCGACTTCTCAGTCCTCAGCACTAACAGGAGTGCGTGAGGCACAGGAAAACCCTAGGAACCCAGCCAGATGCCTGTGTGGCTGCACCACGATGGAGCCGGTATCCTCAGGGAGCAGCTCAGCGTGGCCCCTCGTGTCCCGCAGGCCCCAGAGCTGCTGGAGCAGCAGAAGTACACAGTGACGGTCGACTACTGGAGCTTTGGCACCCTGGCCTTCGAGTGCATCACAGGCTTCCGGCCTTTCCTCCCCAACTGGCAACCTGTGCAGTGGTGAGTGAGCCAGGTTGGGCGGGAAGGCCACCGGAGATAGGGTGGGCCCTACCAGGCCCCCTCTCTCCTTGCCCACCCTGTTTCCCTGGGTCTTTTGTTTCCCAGGGAAGGGCCCGCTAGGACCCAGCAGAGGGGTCCCAGCTCTCAGGACCTGGAAAGAGAGCGTAGTTGTTACGTGTTCATGTGAATTCTGATCCTTTTTAAAAATACGTTTAAACATTTTTTTTTCTTTTTTTAGAGACAGGGTCTTGCTATGTTGCCTGGGCTGATCTCGAACTTATGGACTCAAGTGATCTTCCTGCCAGGGCCTCCCAAAGTGTTGGGATTACAGGCATGAGCCACCATGTCTGGCCAGATTCTGACCTTTAACATGTTTACAAGTAATGCTGCATGAATGTCATGAGCTCAGTAGTGATGGGTTAATTGTGTAGACTTGTGTGAATATGTGCACTTGCACTGAAAATGCTATGCTTAGTCAACAGAAATAAGGATGTACATGTGACACATCCTGAGAACTATGTATGTGAAATGTTGTGTTGACAGACTTTACTGCATCTGAATGTGCATTTTTGTTTTAAAAGCATAAGAAAGTAGCTTAAAATGAGAACCTAATAAATTAGAAAAAAAGATTTTCCAATAAAAAAAATCAAAGGTTACAATTTAGGTTTTAAAAATTACTCTGGGTCAGGCACAGTTGTTCATTCCTGCAATCTCAGCACTTTGGGAAGCCAACGTAGGAAGATTGTTTGGATCCGGGGAATCAAGACCAGCCTGGGCAACATAGCAAGACCTCATATCTACAAAAAAAAATTTAAAAATTAGCCAGGCACAGTGTTGTGTACCTGTAGTCCCAGCTCCTGGGGAAACTGAGAGAGAATGATTGCTTGGGCTCTGGAGGTTGAGGCTATGATGAGCCGAGACTGCCCTCTATCCTGGATGACAGAGTGAGACCCCTATTAAAAAAAAAGTACTCTATGTTCTTTAACTTTTTTTGCTGATTATACAGACAATACTTTGTTTATGGTATATTTACATAATAAAGTTCCTTATCACCACAAAAAAATGGTAAGTATGTGAAGTAGTGTGTATGGCAATTAGCTCCTTGCAGCCATTCCACAGTGTGTGCGTATTTCAGAACAGCGTGTTGTATGTGGCGGATATATACAATTTACATTTGTTAAAATAAGTAAATAAAGTACTGGGGAGAGGGAGAAAACTGAAACACATAATTTAAAGATTAACAATTTCCCGAATCAGTTAGGTCTCATTCAAGATTGTTCCTTGAGAGGGCTAATTTAAATGATGCTACTGCTGCTTGGGCATTCTTTACTTCAAGCTTTATTTTTTTGTAACAGTAATAAATTCGCACGATTCAAATTTCCAGAAGTACAAGAAATATGGTGAAAAATAATCTCCTCCCAGTCTCCAATCCCCCACCCCCACCCCCAGCATCATTGGTTTTTGTGTGCGCCTGAGGATGTTTTATACATACTTGAGGAAACTGGCATATATTTGTTGATTTGTCCTTTAATGCCTTTCCTCCCTTTTTCATGCCAGTGGTAGCATGATGTGAACACTGCCCTGCATGCACTTTTGAAGCATTTTACACCAAGAGAATTCCTTCAGAGCCAACTTATCCACAACACAAAAAAAATCATTGTTTTGATCAAAAGCAACACTGTAGTTCTATTACCCCTCCTTTTTACCAGACAAACTTTGTTTTTGTGTTTTGGAAACAATAGAAAAGCAAGAATCAACTGTAATCAGCCGGGAAACAGTTACTATAAACATTTTTGTAATTTCCAGTCTCTGCAGCATATGTGTATTTTGTACTTTTTTTGATTAAAAAAGTTACTGTACGTATTCTTATACAACCTACCATTCAAAATTGGTATTGGAAATACTTTAGTTTTTCATATTATTTGCAACGTCTGTTTACTGTTCCATTGAACTACAGGTGTACTGTAGTTCATGTAATTTATCCCCCATTGTTGGAAGCATGTTATACTTCTTAAAACAACACCAAGAATAACATCTTTGTAAGGAAATCCTTGTATATCTACAGTTATTTTCCCAGGATAAATTCTTAAAAAAACATTTTTTTTGAGTCAGAGTCTTGCTCTGACGCCCAGGCTGGAGTATGGTAGCATGATCACAGCCATTGCAGCCTTGACCCGTGGAGCTCCTTCTGTCTCAGCCCTTTAAGTAGCTGGGACCACAGGCATGCACTACCATGCCCAGCTAATTTTTTTATTTATTGTACAGACAAGGTCTCACCAAATTGTCCAGACTGGTCTCGAACCCCTGGGCTCAGGCAATCCTCTCACCTCGGTCACCCAAAGTGCTGGGATTACAGGTGTGAGCCACCATACCCAGCTGAAAATGGAATTAACAGACCAAAGAATATACATGTTTTAAAGGTTTTTGATGTGTATTAGCAAACTGCTCACCAGAAAGGTTGTAAAAACACTTTCCAGGAGCAGGTGACGCCCCTCTCACCACACCGTGGCCAGTATTTGCTATTGTCAACTTTCTGGAAGGAATAAAAACATTGCTTTCAGAGGACAAGTGTTTGCATCATGAGAATATATTTATAAGGATAACATGTCGCCTTTGAAGTTCACTGCAGAAGAGTGGTTTTGTATGGTGGCAGCCAGGTTCACTTCTGCGTTATACCTGGGACGTTGGTAATGAGGTGAGGTCCCTGCCTGAGTGTGGAGAAATGGCAAAGTTTGCCCTCCTGTGGCAACTTATTTTTAAAACAGGCATTGCTTCTTCAGCTGAATAGGTTCTGAAATATTGATTAATTCACTCATTAATTTATAATCACACAATATAATGTGACCATCTTAAAAATAGCTTTTAATTATCTGTATAGCTATAGTGGTTTAACTAGTTAAGGAATTATTGCATTTCTTCAATTCACATGGTGAATATTTCCATTATTTATAACAAAATGAGTGAAAATCCACCAGAACTGGAAGAACAAGTGCTTTTTGAAAATATGTCAAAAGTGGCTCCATATCTTCATAATCTGTCATCTGCAGAGTCATTTTCCCAGAACTTCCCTCATTGGTGCTGGAAGACTAGGTGGCAACTTTCTTGTGGACATCTCTGAAACCCAATAAGAAGCTGTTTTGTGGATTCATTTGTATTTCTTCTGCTTTTTAATATCTTGAGCAACTTTTAAAAAATTTTGCTGTCTTTAATTTAAAATTACTTTAAATTCACTTTGAAATTACTATCTTAGTCAAGCAGATAGTAAGTGCACTTGACAAGTGCAATTCAGTCTTTATTATTCTCTTATAAGGCCACTTTACTTTGAAATACATTTTAGGACCAGCCTAGACAATACACATGTTATTTTGTGTGTCCTTTTATAATTTCACATTGACAGACGTTTTCTAGTAGAGGGTCATCCCACATGAGTGTGGTTGAAAGTGTTGGAGCCCCTGACTTACAGCTGTCATAACTCCAGCAGAGCCGTGAACTCCCAGCCTCTGCCATCCACAGGCTTTTCTAGGATCCTGTGTGCTCCAGAGAAGCTAATTTACTGCTTGCCTGTGAGAGCTGTTTGAGGCTAATGCATTGTTTATTTGAATTTCCCAGGCATGTTTGGGAAAGATGTATGTGGACATTCAGACAGAGTAGAAAGAACACCAGACCTGATTCCGTCACTCTCTAGTTGCATGACCTTGGGCAAATCACCTGATCTCCCTTTCCTTGCCACTAAATGGGCTGCAAGTAATGTCTACCACATGGGGTTTCATATGTCAGTAAGTGAATGCTCTGTCTGAGTACTTGGTTATCTGTAAAGATTATTCAAATTTACTATCCATGTTACCAAGAAAATCTGAAGTGAGTTGGGTTTACTTTTTTTTTCTTTTAAATACTGCTTCAGATACCCCCCCAAGAAGTTCTCTAAGTTGAGATATTTAGTTATCTTTAGAAATAGTATTTAGCCATATGCATTTAGAAGGAAGTGTGTATGTGCACACATGTGCATGTTTTAGACATATTCATATATGTCACAATCATGCAGTAATCTTGGTTTGAGAGTTTTTGTTAAATAAAATGGAAGGTAGAGAAATGAAAAGGAAAAACCAAGGGTGAGATAAAGAGGCACAGGACTTTCTGTAGAACTCCTGGCACAACGAGACAGTCAGGAACTCTACTGTTCTACAAAACTCAGGTGGTACTGCCTGCTCGTACATTCTCAAACTGTCCTGTCATGATACAAATGCACTGACTATGATTCTAGAAGCCTGGGGATGTGAGTCTCCTGTACAGTGCTGTTCTGATCGCTATTGACACTTGAACACCAATGATGTCAGGACTCTGTGTGACTGTATTGCATTGATGGCTCCGGTCAGATGCAGACCACAGAGACAATGGTAGTCCATGGGATTATGATACATAGTCTTACTTTATCTCTTCCATGTTTGGGTATGGTTAGACATAGACATTTACCATTGTGTTACTGTTACCTGCAGTATTTAGTGGCATGATATGCTACAAAGTAGGCGGTACCATGTAGCCTAACTGTGTAGCAGACTGCACCATAGGCTTGTATAAGGACAGTCTGATCATACAACAGAATCACCTAATGACACATTTCTCAGAATGTGTCCCCAGTGACAGGTGACTGCACTTAACAAGATCGCATATTTTCAGGCATTCAAAAGTCCGGCAGAAGAGTGAGATGGACATTGTCGTCAGTGAAGACTTGAATGGGACGGTGAAGTTTTCAAGCTCCTTACCCTACCCCAATAATCTTAACAGGTGAGACACTGTGGCATTACTCTAATACATATTTTTCTTCCCTCTTTTAGCAACAGAAATCTGAGGTGACATCTGATAACTTTCCCATAGATTATCAGAACATCATCCTGTGACTGAGAGTAGATTCCCCTCCCTCACATCCCTAGAAATCCTCTTTTCTAAATTCCCATAACAATTTGTCTGTACCTCTTATTACCCGTAGGTGTCCCATTCAGTTTTGCATAGGATTTTTCTCCTAGTCGGCAGTGAGCCTTTCAGGGTAGGAATCACATCGTACTTCTCTTTGCACTCCTCATATGGTCTAATACTGTGTCATAGTCAACAATGAATCTGGTAGTTTGAATGACACTGCAATCCAGTCTCAGAACCACAATACAGGAGATTCATTAGTCATGTCAGAACTGGGTGACAGTACAAAAGCGGGCTCCGTGCAGCCATGTATCTTGAGTGCCTGGATGATGGTGACAGTCTGTATTTAGAGAGTGGGGAAAGGATCATGTGGACTGGAGCTATGTGGAGCGACTTTGAGAGAGGCCTGGAAAGAAATACAGGATGTGGACAGATGAGGGAAAGGAGGAAGGAGGTTCCAAGGGGAAGGTTGGGGTGAGCAAGGCGTGTGTGGGAGTGGGGTTGGAGTGCTGCAGGCCAGGGGAGAAGCGAGGGCTTTGGCACATTTATCTCCAAATGTAAGTGTATTGGGGGGTTCAATATATCCAGATTGTGAAGGGATCGCCTGGAGGTAGGACGTAGCTGTAAGCTGCATTTATTTCATTACACATAAGTAGATGCTCAAGTAAGCAAATTTTAAAAAATAAGTTTTAAAAGTGTATTTTTTAAAGCGCCAGGGTCCTTCTTATGCAGCCAGTTGGAGGTCAGTCTGCTGACCCCTGCGCAGGAAATTTCTGATACAGGGCTGTGTTAGCAGGGCAGGAGAGGCAATGAGTACCTGAACAACTAAGTTGGAAACATTTACCCTTTTCTCCCAGATTAACCCATTCTCATTTTCAGTCCTTGTTCCTTGGGCTCTCCCATGCTCTGCTCCTCTCTGCAGCATCCTGGCTCAGCGGCTGGAGAAGTGGCTGCAGCTAATGCTGATGTGGCACCCCCGGCAGAGGGGCACGGACCCTACATACGGGCCCAATGGCTGCTTCAAGGCCCTAGACGACATCTTAAACTTAAAGGTGAGTGTGGAGCCTCGTTAGCCCCAAGACCACAGCTGGAATCCCCATTGGGACACAGTGTCCTCAAGACAGAGCAGGTCAAAGGCCTGCTGACTTAGCAAGGAAAGAATGGGGATTTTTCTGCCTTGGGAAGAGGTTGAGATGGTTGTGCTAATTGGCGTCAGCCATGAGGCTGTAGCTGTGGACAGACAGGAGTACAAAGGACCAGAATGTGTGAAACTTGGCCCTTCTTTGTGTGGCTAGGAAGTGCAGGGGTAGCGAAGGATCTAGGCAAATCGATGGTTCTCTCTTTGAAGAAGGCAGTGTTTTTCAGTAACATCTGGGTTGTGTTGCAGCTGGTTCACATCTTGAACATGGTCACAGGCACCATTCACACCTACCCAGTAACAGAGGATGAGAGTCTGCAGAGCTTGAAGGCCAGAATCCAGCAAGACACAAGCATCCCAGAGAAGGACCAGGAGCTGCTGCAGGAAGCGGGTCTGGTGCTGATCCCTGACAAGCCAGCCACACAGTGCATCTCAGATGGCAAGGTGTTGCCCTGGCTCCTCACACCATACTCTGTTTTCCCCGACTGTCTCAGGATATGAATCATACCTCAGATTTCAGCTCTGCTTTGTCAAACGGTCCGTGAGTCACACGGTGCAGACACCTGCTGTCTTATTAAGTTGGAGTGTGGCCCCTATGTGACCTAATAGGAGATGAGAATCACTGCGTGCTTGGCTGATTCCTTCCAGACCTCTTAGAATGGCTTCCACTTTCCTTTATTTCCAGAATGGTGCTGTGCTTTTCTGAGTCAGCTGAAACTGAATGACCTGTGTGCAGAGCCAGTCTAGGTGCCTGTGTTGACATGGCAGTGGAAGACATGGCCCCGCCCAGAAAACACCCACAGGCTAACTGGTGGAGGTAGAATTGTCACAAGAAGTGACCATTGCATAGGGAACACATGGTGAATTTCTAAACTGCACAGGGAAGACAGAATAAAATAGAACATAGCACGTTGTAAGTAGGGTGTATGTTCAGATAATGAGAGTAGAAAGAATAGGAAAAATCAGCATAGGCTGCCATCATTAAGAAGGACTCCGTGGAGGTGGGCAAAGTATCTGAATAGACATTTCTCAAAAAAAAATAAGCAAGTGGGCAATGAGCACATGAAAAGATGCTCAACAGCATAGCTCTCAGAAATGCAAATTAAAACTACAATATGATACTACTTCACACTCACTAAGTTGATTGTAATTTTTTAAAAAGACAGAAATAGCAAGTGTTACAAGGAAAGACAGAAATAACAATTTCTGGCAAGGATGTGGAAAAATTGGAACCCTCACACACTACCAGTGGGGTTTTAACATGGTATAGTTGAGAGGCACTTATTGGCTGCAGGTGACCTCTTGGTGAATGGTGAGGAAAGCTTGAAACCTCTTCATTATTTATTGAGAAAGAGAATTTGGGTCCACAAGATGCATTTTGTCCTTATCTTTTGCAGGTAAATGAGGGCCGCACATTGGACATGGATCTTGTTTTCCTCTTTGACAACAGTAAAATCACCTATGAGACTCAGATCTCCCCACGACCTCAGCCTGAGAGCGTCAGCTGTATCCGTAAGAACACTTTTAAAATATATATATAATTAGTTATAATGCTTGGGACAAGGCTGGGGGCGGGGCGGGGAGACGTGGGGCCAGGGAAGAGGCCACAATAAGCACATTAGCTCACCTAATCCTCAGGGCAGCCTTCTCACATAGGGCATGTGGGGAGTAGCATGAATCCTCAGTTAATCTCCACCTTGCAAATAGAACTGCACACAGAGGGGCAATGCCTGCCTGCAAGCCATCTGCTTGCTTTTGAAGTTTCATTTATATTTTAATAGTATATGTACATATTGCCAAGAAAAAAATCAAAAAAGTACAAGATAATGAGTATACAGCGTAAAAGAAGCCACCCTCTTTTCCCAACTCCCCAGCCAATGAGTTCCCTTCCAGAAAACCTGCTGCTGTCACATTTTTGGATATCCTTCCAGGTGTGTTTTTTCCTCCAGACAGTAGTATGGCATCTGTCTGCTCTGTACCTGCCTCTGTCACTTGCCAACATGTTTTGAAGAGTTTGCTCCTACTGGTGCCATAGCACTGCCTTGCTGTTTATGGCTGCATTGTATTCCAGCATCTGATGGACATTTTAGTGCATTTCCCACTCCTTTGCCCCACACCTCACCCAGTTGGAATGCATAGATGGGAAGGCCAGGATCTTGGACAGTGCCAGGCTTCTTGCTTGCTTAATCATCTCCAGGACTGCTGGCTGAAACTACATTTTTATAAGACTTCATAACCTTAACTGTTGTGAACGTGAGAGTTTCTATGACAATACATGGGCCTGTGTACATGTGAACATGTCTCCAAATGACTCATAAAGTGTTTCTTCAAATCAGCAGCTGCTTATTGACCATCTGGTACATGTTTATATTCTAAAGGGGTACAAAAAAATGCATGTGACAGTGACCAGGCATACCCCCAAAAGTTATGTAATCATGCTTTTTTTTTAAAGCGTCAGCGTCCTGGCGGTGTCACAGGCAGGATGTGGCAAGCTGTGGGGAGTTATTCTCTGACAATTGCCTTGTCTCCATTTGCAGTTCAGGAACCCAAGAGGAACCTCTCCTTCTTCCAACTGCGGAAGGTGTGGGGCCAGGTCTGGCACAGCATCCAGACCCTGAAAGAGGACTGCAACCGGCTGCAACAGGGACAGCGGGCTGCCATGTAGCGTGCCAGGCACTTTTTGACTTGATTTATTTAAAATTGTTCAGTGGCTTTGGCTACAGGGAGGTAGCTGAGGCAGGAACCCAAAAGCAGCTGCTATGAGCCACAAGAGGAGACACTGGTTTGGACAGACGGGAAGTGGCTGGGTGGGCTGGACCGAGGGAAACCCTCTAGAACTGGGAGGGTATGGGGAGCACAGGAGAGGCGTGTAGGGCTGGGGCCAGCTGGCCAAGCTGCAGACAGACTGGGAACCCAAGGAGCTCATTGCCATGGGAGATAGCATACTCTCTTGGTTGTCACGCTTGGGGACATACTGCCTCTGTCCCTGGTCACACTTAGTTTACATTTTAGGCACTGTATATAGTACCTTGCTTGACTCCAGTTTTGGTTCAGAACCTCATGCATTACTAAGGGCCAGGAAATTGTCCTTTGATTATAAGTGGCTACTGTTAGAATAACAATAATAATAGCAAGGACTTTACTTGGCATTTGGGAGGTTTTGCTATTGTACAGGAAATGGTATTTGGAGCCCAAAATGTACCGAGTTTTGTTGCTTGTGGTTCCTGCAGGATGAATCTCCTCCGGAACAACAGCTGCCTCTCCAAGATGAAGAATTCCATGGCATCCATGTCCCAGCAGCTCAAAGCCAAGCTGGATTTCTTTAAGACCAGCATCCAGATTGACCTGGAGAAGTACAGTGAGCAGACCGAGTTTGGGATCAGTGAGTGTGCTCTTTGCAATGACCACTATTATTATTTTATTATTTTTTTAGGCAGGTCTCACTCTGTTGCCCAGGCTGGAGTGCAGCGGCATGATTACTGCTCACCACAACCTTGACCTCCCGGGCTTAGGTGATCCTTCCACCTCAGCTTCCTGAGTAGCTGGGACTACAGGTGTCCTACCACACATGGCTAAGTTTTTTATTTTTTGTAGAGACGAGGTCTCGTTATATTGCCCAGGCTTGTTTTGAACTCCTGGAATCAAGTGATTCTCCCAACTCAGCCTCCTAAAGTGCTATAACTATAGTGTGAGCCACTGCACCTGGCTGACCATTTTTAAGTGTATTACTTATTACATTTTCTCTTTAAGATTTCTTTTGTCCCCCTGTGATTGAGTTGCTTCTCTCTGGTTTAGTGTGGTAGTGTTTCACCTTGTTTGTCTTTCCTTCCTAATTGTCTTTCAGCATCAGATAAGCTGCTGCTGGCCTGGAGGGAAATGCAGCAGGCTGTGGAGCTGTGTGGACGGGTAGGAGACTCACCCTGGGTGTCTGGACTTCCTAAGGGCAGAGGTTTTGTACTGATGTTCTTCATTTTCTCAGCAAATACTGGATTGCTCCTCTGTGTGAGAAACCAAGTGTTCCTCGCTGTGCTTTGGCTTAACTAGACCTGCGGGAAGGAGGCTGAGGGAGTAGCCAGTGACGGGGCCCTGTGGCCAGGTGTCGGAGCTGTGCCGATGGGCAGAGATGGTCCCAATTACCAGGAGCAGAGTGCCAGATGCCCTTTCAGGAAAGCCAAGACCACTTCCTGCTAGGGAGGGCAGTGGGTGGATGCTCAGCACACCCTTTGGTTTTCACCCAAGTTTATTGGGATACTCAATCCATAGGAAATACAAGGTCTAGGAAGAAAGTCTTGGGACAGTATAAATCAGATACCGCTGGAAAAATTTTGCCATGAAGGCAGGCGAGTAGAGTGACTCAGTGAACTCACACAAGTGGAAGTGAAAGCCTGGGCTCTGGGACTGTTTTCCTGGGCCCTTTTCCTGTTTTTCCCTGTGCACGACATCTCGGTATTTACCTGTGTAAATCAGCATGATGGGGTATGTACTTGAAGATGAATATTACATAGACAGCACCTTATTAATCATAGAGGGATGAGTGCTCCTCCCTGTCTTGGTACTTGTATATATTATCTGTGAAATGAAGGACTCCAGGCCTCCCTGCTGGGTGGCATTGGAATAAACAAATCCAGAGGAGAGAAGGTAGTATGCATGGGCATCTTCTGTGTGCCAGGCACCACTCCAGGTCCTCACGTGCATCATTTCACTGACACCCTCAGACAGCCCTGTTAGAAAACTCTTATGGGAGAGCAAGCTAGCTCAGGGGCAAGTGACTCGCCTAGGGGTCACCCAGCTGGAAAGCAGTTGACCCAAGTTCAAGCCCAGGATGCTGTGGGCTTGGGGGCAAGTCCATCCTTCCAGCCATCCATTGAGATTCCCCAGTGTGTTTGGAGAGTCCCCACGTCTGTCCCAGCACATCTCACATCTTGGTAAGAGAATTTCTTACCACATCAATAGACATTAACACAGCTTTCCCATTAGGAGAACGAGGTGAAACATCTGGTGGAACGGATGATGGCCCTGCAGACTGACATTGTGGACTTGCAGAGGAGCCCAATGGGCCGGAAGCAGGGGGGGACACTGGATGACCTGTGAGTACCAACTGGGGACCACATTGCCCTGGCACACACAAGCCTCACAGGAGCATTCGTGCTTGTGTGTGTGTTGGAGCCACCCTTGGAGGCTGTGTGGGACCAGTCTCTGCTAGTGCATGCTTGTCTGGGGGTCATCCTGACATGTCCCATAGATGAGCCAGGGCAAATCACCACCACTCTGAGCCTCAGTTTCCAAATCTGTTATGTAACAAGAAAAATGTTTGACCTCACAGAGTTGTGAGGATCAACTTAGTGCATTAGAGAAGGAGTTGGTCATCTGTAAATGCTGAAGAGGCAAGTTGCCTTTCTCATTGTTTCATATATCCCTGTTCCGTCTGCCCACCCTGGCCTAGGTGTGGCCCCAAGAGCAGAAAGTAGAACAGAGAAGAAAGAACCTGGCAGGCATGGGAGCTGGCACCTGGAAGCAGTTCACTCAAATCTTTGTCAGGTGTTTGGCATTGGCTCCAGAGGGGATGAGGTGTCCAGGCAGACCAGCCCTGCCTGAGGAAATAGCAGGTACCCTCTGGTGTGAGACAGAAGGGAACCAAGCTGGCTGGGTCAGTCTGTCAAGGGCTATGCTACTGTGAGCTCTTCAGTGGTCCCTGATGCTCTTACTAGGATTCTTAGGGTGAGAAATCTGGATGTAAGGAATTGGATTCAGTGTTTTCGCTGCTTATTTACGTCTCCATTGTGCTCTAGTTTTCAGATGAAAGCCTTCTTTTGAGAATGTCAGCCAGTCTCATCTGTGTTAAGGGGGCAATGGGATAGAGTTTGTGTCCATCTTTGGGCTTGGTTTTCAAGACAAAGTCATGTTCTCCAGGCTTGGGTCCAGCGACAGCACCCAGAATCCCTATTGTAGAAGCCAGTGGGGTTGGGTGGTGGGCAGGACTCAGAAGGACAGAGTGGAGACTCCTTTTCTTCAGATCTTCTCTCATGAAACCTTGGAGGTGTTTGAGTTCTGACACTGAGAGCGATCATTTGCTCACTGTACAGATATCACCTATGATATCACCAGAAATACTAGTCTTCTCCAGTCAAGAAAGACATAGTACCAGTCTTGTTTCTAAAAATCAGTAATTCTGCTGGCAGAATTAGCAGACCATGGCTTCAGATGTGCTTATTTGACCTCAAATCTAGACAGAACTTCTTTGTCTATTTTTTTTTTTTTTTTGAGTTGGAGTCTCACTCTGTTGCCCAGACTGGAGTGCAGTGGTCGCTCCTGGCCACTGCAGCCTCGACCCACTGGGCTCTAGCGATCCTTCCACCTCAGCCTTCTGAATTACAGGCACGCGCTACCATGCCCGGCTGATTTTTTTATTTTTTTTATTGTAGAGATGAGGTCTCGCCAAGTCACCCAGGTGGGTCTCGAACCCACGGGCTCAGACAGTCCACTCACCTCAGCCTCCCAAAGCGCAGGATTACAGGCTGAGCCACCGAGCCCGGCTTTCTTTGTCTATTTCAGAGAAGAGCAAGCAAGGGAGCTTTATAGGAGGCTGAGAGAGAAACCAAGAGGTGAGTGGGCTATGTGTCTGCCTGGCATTTGTCTCATCCGAGAGGCAGCTGTGCTATCCGCGGCTCCCTTGAGGCACTGTGCGCTGTCCCTCTCCAGACCAGCGGATAGAAGGGGACAGTCAGGAAATGGTCCGGCTGCTGCTCCAGGCAATTCAAGGCTTTGAGAAGAAAGTGCGAGTGATCTACACACAGCTCAGGTACATGCCCCATCCTGCTCTGGGAGGACAGGAAAAAGGCAGCAGGGCTGTATGTGAGGCCATTTGCCTCCCTCTACCCAGATTTGTGGGCCGCCTGACGGACCCTTCATCTGCATCTGCTGGTCTGGTTCACAGTTGCCAGGTCATGCCCTGCTTTCTCCAGCCTGGGTGCCAGTGCAGTTTGTCATGTGTGTTCTTCGCAGTAAGACTGTGGTTTGCAAGCAGAAGGCGCTCGAGCTGCTGCCCAAGGTGGAGGAGGTAGTGAGCCTCATGAATGAGGATGAGAAGACTGTGGTGCGGCTTCAGGAGAAGCGGCAGAAGGAGCTCTGGAACCTCCTGAAGATTGCATGTGTGAGTGAGCCTAGGGCAGTCCTGAACCCTCAGCCCACAGCCTTCTTGGTCTTTCCGTCTCCATGCTCCATCACTGTCATATTCTACCATGCGGAACACAGAGCCACTGGCAGCACTCAGCTGCCAAGTTTTCACATCTCTGCTCCGAGGTTTGGAGTGAAGGTTGCGGGCAGAGAAAGGACTTGTGCTTATTGTCTTTATGCCTGTGTTTAGTCTGTATTGCACTGTGATAAAGAAATTCCTTAGGCTGGGTAATTTATAAAGAAAAGAGGTTTATCTGGCTCACAGTTCTGCAAGATGTCAGCATCTGCTTCTGGTGATGTCACAGGAAACTTCCAGTTATGGCAGAAGGCAGAGAGAGAGCAGGCATGACACATGGCGAAGAGCAGTACCACGATGGGGAAAGAGGTTCCAGGCTTCTTAGAACAACCAGCTCTCACATGAAATAGTAGAGCGAGAACTCACTCATGACCGCAGGGAGAGCACTATGACATTCACAAGAGGCCTGCCCCCATGACCAGGCCCCACCTCCAACACTGGGGACCATATTTCTTTCTTTTTTTTTTTGAGTCACAGTCTCACTTTTTTACCCAGCCTGGAGAACAGTGGCATGCTCCCAGCCACTGCAGCCTTGACCTGCTAGGCTCAGGAGATTCATCTGCCTCAGCCTTCCAAGTAACTGGATCTACAGGCACACGCTACCATGCCCAGCTTATTTTTTGATTTATTGTAGAGATGAGGTCTTGTCAAGTTGCCTAGGCTGGTCTCGAATCCATGAGCTCTGGCAGTCCTCTCACCTCAGCCTCCCAAAGCACTGGGATTATAGGTGTGAGCCACTGTGCCCTGGCCTGAGGACCGATTTCAACCTGAGGTTTGGAGGAACAACACCAAACTGTGTCACTATATACTGTCCTTTGGCTACGGTAATAAATTACCACGAACTGAGTGACTTAAAACAACAGAAATTTACTTTCAGAGTTCTGGAAGCTAGAAGTTCACAACCCAGATGTTGGTAGGGCTGTGCTTCCACTGAGGACTCTTGGGAGAGAGTCCTTCCTAGCTCCAAGTGTTCCTTAGCATGCAACTGCACCACTTTAGTCTCTGTCTCCACGACCTCTGTTTCTCCTCTGGGTGTCTCTTACAAGAAAATCTGTCATTAGGTTTGGGTCCTGCCTGAATACTCTAGAATGTTCTCATCTCAGGATCCTTAATTATATCTGTAGAGACTTTTTCCAAATAAAGTCACATGCACAGGCTCCAGGAGTTACGATATGGACATACCTTTTTAGGGCTGCCAGTGTAGCTCTCTGTGGTGTGCATCAGCACAGCCTGACTTGCCCTCTGCATCTGCATGGCCTCAGTACTGTGATGCTCTGAGCACACCCCTCGGTGTTGCTGAGAATCCATTGGATGCCACTCAGGGAAAAAAGGAAAACAGACAAGGGCCAAGGAGGAGGAGGGCCAAGGAGGAGGAGATCCAGGCAAAACCCTGTTGTGGAAGTTGGGGCTGTGGGGACATGAGCCTGCCAGGAAGGTGCAGGAGTTCAGAAAGGGTGGGAGCGCCACAGGGAAAGATTGGGGAGGCAGCTGCTCATGGTGGAAGCAGAAGGGGATGGCGCATCAGGAGGTTCAGAGTGTCTAAGGCCAGGGGAATGGTCAGTGCCCTCTGCGTGAGTGATGGCCTGACCTCGGAAGGGCAAGTACGTGTTCTTCTGTAGGAAAGGCAGAAAAGGAGAGATGACAAAGTAGAGGAGATCCAAGGACAGGAAGGTGGAGGTATTCACAGTGATAGCCTGAACTGCCATCTCCATTCATTTGACATTTATTGAGTGCCGCTGAATGTATAGCAAGGTGGGAGAGGGGAAGCCATGAAGCCTGCTCCAGGGAGTCCTGATCTGATGAGGGGTACAGACAAGTACATGAGTGAGAGCAGTTTTGGGCAGGAAGGGCTAGGAAGCAGCACTTACACGAACTGCAGTTTCCACGAGGAGGAGGAATGTCAGCTGAAGTCTTGGAGGGGAAGGGACAGCCAGACCACTCCAAGGAGGTGTTCCAGCTGAGGATAAGGACACTCGAGGACAAAGACATTGCTGTGACGAGGCAAGGGGGCTGGGGATAATGGTATGCTCGAGAGGTATGCATGTTGCTGTGTGTGGGGAAGGGCGTCATGGAGCATGATGCAGGTGACACAGGACACACTTCACTTTCAGAACACAGAGGAAATATTGCAGGGTTTGTCTTTGTTTAACATTGAAGGAGCATAAGTGTGGGAGTAATATGGTCACACCTGGATTTTAGAGAATACTCTAGTGGCAGCTAGAGAGTAGATTCAAGCCCTTGGCAGATCTCAGCACCGAGAGCGGGGCTGCTTATCAGGGGCTAGAGTTGAGCAGTTCCCCGTGGTGCACAGGACAGGATCGCACAGGAGTTGGGATAGAGTCCTGACTATAAGAGTGCCATATGGTGCAGGATTGACCTGTCATGCCCACAACCTGCCACATAACCCCACCACCACACTCACAACCTCCCGCCACACTCACGGGTCTGGGGAAGAAGAGCAGGAGGCAGATAGCCGGGTCTTCCCATGGGGGATGGTTGACAAGGAAGGCACAGCCGGAGGACAAGGAACAGGCAGCAGCAGGCGTTTAGGTGGCTGATTGACATGTGGGCCTTGAAGTTTAGCTGGAGGGGAGGACGTGGTACCAAGAAGGTCCCATGGGGAGGGGGAAAGGTGCAAGGACTGCAGCACAGGAGGGGCCAGCAGTGGGGACATTGGGAAATGTGCGAGGCAGACAGACGAAAGTGGCTGGAGACTGGTGGGAGGGGTGCCCTGAGGACCAAGGAGGGCCCCAGCAGTGGCTGTGAACTGGGCTTGCAGCATGGGAGGCTCAGGCAGCTGGCGCTATAACCCTGTTGGTCATCAGACCTGGAGGTGTGGTGGCCACAGTAACCGGGAATCAGGACACCTGGTCTCTTCTCTGCTGCATCAGCAGATGCCTTTCACAGTCTCACAGCCTCGTGTGTCCATCTTCCACTTGGAAAAGAGAAGACGCCTTCCTTGTCTTTCCTTGTAAAAGTTCCTTGAGGAATCAAACTCACGAGATAAAGCCTGCAGACCAGCAAAGGTGCTCTGTCCCTGGACTCGGGTCATCCCTATAGCCCACCTGCCAGCATTGAAGCACTTGGGCCAAGATGCCACGTGCCAGCTGATTTCAGGTGGAGGCACTGACTGGCAGATGCTGAAATGCCTGCAGCATCCCATGGCCCACCACCGCATGAGAAACACTGAGTGTGAGCGCAAATGGGATTCCTCACTAGGCTCCCAATTGTACTTTGTTTCGGTTTTGTACTATAGAGCAAAGTCCGTGGTCCCGTCAGTGGAAGCCCAGATAGCATGCATGCCTGCCGCCTGAGCCAGCCTGGACAGCTGATGTCTCAGCCCTCCCCAGCCCCTGACAGCCTACCCGTGTCAGCCAAGAAGAGGTGAGTCCCGGCTGACAGCGCCAGGTGTGATGTTCAGGGCGCATCAGGAGACGTGAGATGGAACACATCTGTCATTAATAGACGTCTCACAGTTTTGCTGGGGTTTCTCTTTGTGGTAACTGCTAGACCTCATGGGTACACAAATGGTGTTCTGCTCTCATATTCCCTTGTCACTTACCAACTAGTACTCTGTCCAAGGATTGGATTATGACTTGCTAATTGCTTAGTGACAGAGTTGAAAGCACTGGTCAGTGCTTTCAGATACAGATCCTCAGGAGGGCCTGTCACCCTCCTGAGCCATTACCACCTCAGGCCACCAAGCTTCTGTTTTTCCTCCTTCCTTTTGTGCCTCTTACATTGTTCCTTGTCTCTGGCCACCACCCCCTCCTCCTGCTGGAGCCACTTGGCAGAGGTGTTAAGCAGAGCCATTCTGGGCAAGGTCTCTTGCCTCCTGTCTGTGACTGTCACCATGCCTGCCCCTACTAAATCAGTCTTCATCAAATGCCACTCTGTCCAAGTCATTTCTGGGTCTGAGTGAATGATGGCTTCTCACTCCACTCTAGCAGATCGGACCTGGGCTCAGGCACTCAGGACCGCCTCAGCATGCCCTTCAGGCAGGTCCACTCACTCTTCAGACCCCTGCCCAGTACTTAAAGCCCATCCAGGCCAGCAGCGGCAGATGCTGAGGTCCCACTCTCTGAACCAGACACTCAGGGCAAGGCCCCTCAGTCTGCACTGAGCAAGTCCTCCAGCTGGTTCTGGTGCACTAGCATGGCACCACTGCTCTGGCCACTCTTCAGGCCCTTCCCTGCCTCACTTCCATCTCCTTCAAAGCCTAGGCCATCCATGCATGATGGGTGCTCTCTTCTGTGGTTTGTTTGGGTTCAGTTCCCCAGCATTTACTCAGCACCTTCTCTATGTGGGGCCCTGTTGACTCCTGAAGGCAGATATCTAGGCAAAGGAGGTGGGTTCATGGATGAATGGGGCAGGGGAGAGGATGGAAGTGACTGATGATGGGTGCAAGGTTTCTTTTTGGGATGTTGAAAATGGTCTAAAACTAGGTATAGTGATGGTTGCCCAACTCTGTAAACATGCTAAAACCCTTGAATTATACACACTCAGTGGGTGAGCTATATGGTAAAAAGCTGCTTTTCTTTTTTGTTTTATTTTGAGTTGGAGTCTCACTCTTTTTTGCCCAGGCTGGAGTGCCATGGCATGCTCATGGCCACTGCAGCCTCAATCTGCTGAGCTTAGGCGATTCTTCCACCTCAGCCTTCCATGTAGCTGGAACTATAGACACATGCCACCACGCCCAGCAAGTTTTTTTGTGTGTGATTTATTGTAGAGACGAGGTCTCACCAAGTTGCCCAGGCTGGTCTTGAAACCCCAGCCTCAGGCAGTCTTCTCGCCTAGGCCTCCCAAAGTGCTGGGATTATAGGCTGAGCCACTGAGCCCACCCAAAAAGTTGCTTTTCAAAGTCTTGTTCTTGTCCTTTGGGAGTTTTTATCCTGCTGTGGTGTTTAATCATATGTGACCTTAGAGGTCATGTGCCTTTGTCGCCCTGTGGAACTGACCTTAAACCTAGCTAGAGGCTCTGTTGACAGGGCTTACACACGTGTGCTGAGTTCCTGCCATCAGAATGCCACGTTTTACGGGTGAAAGGAGTTCCAGGACGCTGTCTTCCCAAGTTTGGCATATTCCCTCTGATGACATCCTCAGAGCTCTGGAAAAGTTCACCTGGGAGTTCAGGTTTCTCTCATCTCTCCAATGTCTCAGAGCTGAGGTTAGGAAGGACAGATGGTTTATTATACTCGCCCTTTCTCACTGTGCCCAGTATACTGATAGGAAACAGGCACTCCTTAGAGAAAAGAGGTAAGTCAGGATAGATGATGTCAGTTCCCAGAACTTGCTTTTCAAGCGATCTCAAGGAACTTTGGAAAACTGGTAAATTACTTGGCCTGTTTTTTTCCATTTTAGCAATTGAAAAGCAGGTGATTTGGGGAATATCTTTAGATTTTGGCAGTTTGGAGGGAATGTAATTCAGTAAGTCAGAAAGTGTTTTTTTAACTTCTCATTTGTATTATAAACAGAGCTCTGCTTGCTTTTTCACATTTTTGAAAGTAGTGTTCCTGCCTGGATGTAGGGTTCTGAAAAATGCTTAACTAAGTGTGTGAACTCATTCGCCAGGGAGAGGGTGTTTTCAGGTAGTTGGGATGATTTTTTACATGGTCTAAAGCTCTCTAGCGTATTTTACAATAGCAGTATGAGCACTGATAAGTAGCGATGACCACTTTCTGATAATTTGGTCGTTTTCTTCAGTGAAGAGCTGGTGTCTGAAGCACACACTCTCTGCAGCCGCCTGGAGAGCGCTGTACAGGACGCCGTGAGGGAGCAGGACCGGAGTCTTATGGTAACAGTGTGAGAGCCCCACAGCCCATGTCCTTCTTTCCACAGCAAAAGAGAAGAGAAAATGGAAAGGCAGTTCAGTGTTACCCTTAGTCTCAGTGTATGGTCACACTTTTCTAGTCCATGTTCTTAGTTATTCATATTAATAACAATCGTGGTTAACAAATACCATATTGGCTGCTGACAAGTATGTTGTCTTATTAACCCTTGCAATACTTCCACTGGTGAAGAAGGTAACAGGGTCCCCACTTCTGGGCTGCTGCCAAACCCCTGTGTGTTGTGTGCAGGACTGCACTCTAGGGTAATTCAGGAGCCTACATGGACTGTGCTCAGGAGTAGTCCTGGTTATGGGAAACCAACCTGAAGCAAAACCAACCAAGACACAGATCCATTTACACAAAGCTGAAACTGCTGAGAGGGTCCCTAGTCATCCTCTTAGGTCTCCCCATGGTCCTCTCCTGTTAACTCCCTCCAACTTCCCTCAGTGTACAAATCTTGGAAGAATTGGAGGGGATGCCGCTGCTGATTGCAGTCATCACTCATTTAGCCAAGGGCTCTCCTCCAGCACACAGTCTCCTATGTCTGGCCACTCTGCTCCTCTTGGCACTCCATGTTTTGAGCATTTCACTGCTTGCTTGCACGCGTGTGAGGGGAAGGACGTGATGAGGCTGTAAGTCGATGACTAAGGTGAGCTCTGGGTGCCACCCATCCACAGCGAGCCCGTCAGTCTCTGCTGTGAGCCACACGTGGTCCCAAAGTTGCCTTTCTAGTTTCTAGTCACAGGATCTCAGGGATGCTTAGCCAATCCCAAGAAAAGGTCATGTGAGGTATTGGAGACTAGCTTAGTTCAGGGTGTTCTGCAGTAATGAGACTGCTACTAATTAAAGGGTTTAAACATGCTTCTGCATTGGGCTGAATGAAGGAAGAGCAGCCTGAGGTGTGTGGTGGCTGTTGTCCTTTAACACATCTGTCGACTTTCAGGCCCTAGACTGGAGCTGGCTACAAACAGAGGAGGAAGAGCCCAGCACTCTGGAGCAGGCCTCATGACATGGGGAGCCTCGACCCCCCCAACGTGGGGCAGCCCAGAGCAGGCCATGTGACATGGGCCATCATCTGGCGTGGCTCTCCCACAGTGGCTTTTGCTTCAGGGATGTCCCAGCAGCCTCTGGCACCCAGATGGAGCTCTCACTTTCCCAGCCGCTGTGATGTTCATCCTGGACCCAGGGCAAGGCCCTCAACCAGCACTGCCGGCACCCTGTCTGTACACTAGAAATCCTCCATCTTGGAATCCAACAAATGTTGACACCAGTCACCAGTGTTGAGGGAAACAGTCACAGCGGCTACTTCTGCTGCTCTGAAAAAAAGTGCCCAAAGTACGGTTTGCCACACAGATGACTGTACAGTATCTAACTTGAATCTCTCAGGCCAGAGTCTGAACAGGACTTGGTGCCAGCCTGTCCCCTTCTGACCTCCAGGGGCCCTGATGGCCTGTCCTCTCTCACCTTTCAGCTGGTGTTTCATCTGGATTGGGCTTCTCCATAGCAGACATTTTAATTATAGGTTTGGCCTGGCCCTGGCCTCTCTTCCTCTTTTCATTTCATTGCTGCAAAAATTATATTTTTACCTACTACTTTGGTGGTTGTCCTCCTTCTGGCAAAGTTGTACTGAGTGCCAAGTTCCTCCTGTCCATAGTCCTTTCAAGCCATGGAGTGACTCACTATAGCCAGGACAGAAAGGCTGCTGCCTTCCTTTGAGTCCCAACGAGTACCTGGGAGTGAGTCATCATAGAGAAGGAAAGAGGGAATGGGTCTCTGTCAACTGCTGGCCCACTGGCTACAGTGCTCACACCTCACTCTGACTTGGACACATTTGCGTGTGGTGGTGGGCCGGGGTGTTCCTGTCTCACACAGCATCTAGCAGTATTATTAAGCTGATTTAATTTTAAATAGTCTATATTTTGTAACATGACTCAAACACATTGGCCTCCACAATCCAGTTTCATGGTACCTGCGGTTGGGAATTCTGAACTAAAATAATGAGAAATTTTATACAACTGACTAGTGCCTGGATTATAATAGTACAGAAGCACTGCTGTTTCACTGTCCTGGATCTTTTACATAAAAGCAAGTTGGAATAGGAGAATTCCACAAAATGATTTTCATGGACATAGAACGAGACATTCATTCCATAGTCAGGTGAGCTTAGTGCACATTTCATGATTTAATTGCTTCTTGGAGATTCACATTGTACACCTGTAAAGTATCTGAAATGTTTTAGAATAAAGAAACTGGTTTAACTTTGTATAAATCCACTGTTCACCAAATGTCATTTGACCATAGAACCCTTTCTCCCCTGTGTGTGTGTGTGTGTGTGTGTGTGTGTGTGTAATATCCCAAGGAACTAGAGTTTGATAAAGCATGATTTTGGAAACCCTAGCAAGGGACATAGAGAGAAATAAGACTTGCAAGGCTGGGATGGAGTCAGACTAGAGAGGGAATGGATGCTGGGCTGAGGCCATGGACTTGCTTTATAGGCAATGAGAGTCACTACAGAATTTTATCCAGGAAAATGTCAACCAAAGCAGCGGCTTAAAAAGTGTATGTCAGCCGGGAGCAGTGGCTCATGCCTGTAATCCCAACACTTTGGAAGGCCAAGGCGAGAGGATTGCCTGAGCCCATGGATTCAAGACCAACTAGGCAGCTTGACAAGACTTCGTCTCTACAATAAACCAAAAAATTAGCCAGTTGTGGTGGTGCACACCTGTAGTTCCAGCTTACTCGGAAGGTTGAGGCGGAAGGATCGCCTGAGCCCAACAGGTCAAGGCTGTGGTGGCCGTGAGTGTGCCATTGCACTCTAACCTGGGTGACAAAGTGAGACTCCAACTAAAAAATAAATAAAAATAAAAAGCATATGTCTGGAACATTCTAATTGAAAAAAAAGAAAACCCGGGAATTAGGTGCGCTTTTCCCTTTCAATGCAGCTGGAATCCTTGGTCATATAAACACATTTCAGAAGACTCTGAAAGTCTGAGGTAAGAAGGAAGAAAGAAGGGGCTTTGCGGTCTGCAGAATGCCTTTGGTAATTAATCCCTGGGTTTTCTTTCGGTCTTATGTATCCAGATTTGGATGCTGGAGAAGCTGACCAATGGACACAGACATAAAAGCCCCATGAAAAGCCTCTCTCTTGTATTAGTTCCTTGGCCTGCCATAACAAATGACCACAGATTGGGTAGCATTGGGCAACAGAAACTTACTCTCTCACAGTTCTAGAGGCCAGCAGTGTGAAACTAAGATGTCAACAGGAATGCATCACTTCTGAAGGTCCTAGGGAGATTGTTCCTTGCCTCTTCTATCTTCTGGTAGCTTCGGGCAGTCCTTGACTTGTGGCTGCATCTCTGCCACAGGGTCATATAACTAGCTAGCTTTGTCAGATCTCTCCTGTGTGTCTTGTATAAGAGCACTTGGCGAAACCTCATCTCCACAATAAATAAAAAAAATAAGCCAGGCGTGGTAGTGCGCGCCTGTAGTTCCAGCTACTTGGAAGGATGAGGCGGAAGGATCTACGGAGCCCAGCAGGTCGAGGCTACGGTGGCCGGGAGCGGCCACTGCACTCCAATCTGAGCAACAGAGTGAAACTCCAACTCAAAAAAAAGCACTTACTGAATTTAGGGCCAATTTGAAAGATCTAGGATAAGCACTTCTCAGGAATTTTAGTGTAATCACATATATTGCTGTATGAGGTAATCCAGGTTCTGGGGATTAGGAAGTGGACAGATTTGGGGGACCACCATTCAACCCTCTACCATCCACACACTGGAACCCCAGATTCATAAATAAATCCATTTATTCACCCAACATCCCCCAATGTCTTAACCCTTAGAGCATAAATTCTGAGACAATAATCTCATAAATACTAGTTCAAAAGTCCTGAATCCTGAACCTCATCATCTAAAGCAGGTGTGGATGAGACTGAGCATGATTCATCCTAGTATAAAATTCCTCCATCTGTGGACTTGTGAAACTAGAAAACAAGTTATGTGTTTCCAAAATACGATGGTGGAATAAAGCACATGATCGATGTTCCTATTCCAAAAGGGAAGATTGGAAAGAATGAGAGTCACCCAGCTTTATTTATTTATTTATTTATTATCTTTCTTTTTGATCTATTGTAGAGATGAGGTCTCACCAAGTTGCCCAGGCTGGTCTCGAACACCTGGACTCAGGTAATCCTCTCACCTCAGACTCCCGAAGTGCTGGAATCATAGATGTGAGCCACTGCACCTGGCTCAGATCTACATTTCTTTTTTTTTATTTTTATTTATTTTTTATTATGAACTTGTGGGGTACAGTTAAGGGTTAGGTATACAATTGCGTTTCATTCAGGCACCCTGTTGATATGGGGTGTTTCCCCATTCCCAGACAGATATTTGCTACTGTTAATCCCATCTCCCTACCCCCCCATAGTTTCCCAGTACTGTCAGCCATTTTCTTATAGTATTGCATTGGATGTTTAAGGTCCATTATATGAGTGAGAACATGTGATACTCGGATCTTTGTTTCTGTGAGAGGTCACTCAGTATTATAGACTCTAGTTCCATCCAGGTTGCTGCGAAATTCATGATTTTGTTCTTTTTTATGGCTGCGTAGTATTCCATCGTGTATATGTACCACATTTTTAAAATTCAGTCCTCTTTTGACGGGCAGCATGGTTGTTTCCAGGGTCTTGCTATTGTGAACAATGCTGCGATAAACATGCGTGTGCAGGTATCTTTTTTTATAGAGTGATTTGTGTTCTTCAGGATATATTCCCAGTAGGGGGATTGCAGGGTCATATGGGAGGTTGGTATTTAGGTTGGCTTTTAGGAATCGCCACACTGCTTTCCACAGAGGTTGCACTAGTTTACACTCCCATCAACAGTGTAGAAGTGTTCCCTTTTCGCCACACCCTCTCCAGCAGCTGTTATTTTTTGACTTGTTGATAATTGCCATTCTGACTGGGATTAAGTGGTA